GTCCCACGAGGATCCCCTCGCTCTCACATCAGAAGCAAGGACGTCTCACGCTACACCTCCAACCGCCGGATCATCAACCCAAAATCACCTGGTTCAACACTCGGTTCCGAACGTTTCTGCTGACGCGGGAAGCGTTCCACCACAATTTATCCTCGAGATGATGAAGATGATGCAACAGATGTCGGAGCGTTTAGTGGCCCCTCAGGAAACAAAAGTAAAAATAACAGATATTTTTTTACCAAATTTCGATCCTGATGGCAGCATTGGCATTAGAGAATGGTGTCAGCACATCAGCACGGCGATGCACCATTATCAGTTGAGGGATTATGAAGTTCGGATGAAAGTAACATCTCTTCTTAAAGGACGTGCTAAGCTTTGGGCTGATAAATGGCTCGTAACAACATCATCTTGGAATGAACTTCAGGAAAACTTAATAACCACATTTGAACCCGAAAATCGTTACTCCCGAGACATCGCAAAATTTAAAAATCATGTCTACGACACTAAAACAGATATAGCGGAATTCCTTACCACAGCATGGATCTTGTGGCGAAGAGTAACCAAGGACAAATTAAGTCAAGAAGACGCCGTGGAAGCTGTTATTGGAAGTATCGGTGACGAAAAATTGAGAGTTGAATTAATGAACGTGCGTGCTCGTACTGTACCTGAACTGATTTCCGTGGCTGCAACTACTAGATCTAAGAGATTTAACGACGATTATCACACGGAAACTCCGCCAAAACGTTCCCGTTTTTCTTCAAATCAAGATCATAGATTTGGTTCATTTTGCAACAAATGCAAAAGACAAGGTCATTCATTTGAAACTTGTTACTTCAACAAAAATACGAATTCTAGATATTCGTATCCTAAATCTATCGAGGTAACAATGAAGCCTACTTGTACATTCTGTTCAAGAGTGGGACACACTTTGGACAATTGTTTTCAAAAGACTAAAGATCTTTCCTCAAAGCAAGTAAACAATATCGGCAGCTCTTCATTCACCACTATGATGAAACAGAAATAAAACGTCTACTTGCCCTCCTCGACCGGTTTGCACATATGTTCACTGAAGGCTTCGGGAAAACTCGTGTTACTACGGGTGAGTTAGAAATCAGATTAAAGAATCCAGAAAAAATTGTTGAACGCAGACCCTATCGTTTAAATACAGTCGAGAGACTAAAACTGAAGAAAATCTTAAAAGAACTCTTGGATCATAAAATAATCCAAGAAAGTAAATCTCCATTCGCAAGTCCAGTCATCTTAGTAAAAAAGAAAAATGGCACGGACCGCATGTGTGTCGATTATCGTGAACTTAATGCAAACACGGTTCGTGACCACTACCCGTTACCTCTTATTGCAGATCAAATTGATCAATTATCTAATAGCAACTATTTCACAACCCTCGATATGGCATCTGGATTTCATCAAATTCCCGTTTCAAGCAATTCGATTGAAAAAACAGCATTCATTACCCCAGATGGTTTATATGAATTTTTAACCATGCCCTTTGGTTTATGTAATGCACCTGCTGTGTATCAAAGATGTATTAATCGGGCCTTAGATGGATTAATAGGGGACATAGCACAAGTTTACATTGATGACGTTTTATGCAAAAGTGAAAATTTTGAAGAGGGACTGATAAACTTAGAAAAAGTTTTGGTTGCATTACACAAAAGTGGTTTTTCGATTAACATTAATAAGTGTTCTTTCTTCAAAAAATCTGTTGAATACCTCGGCAACGTGATTTCAAACGGACAAGTGCGTCCCAGCCCACAAAAAGTAGAAGCTTTAATAAAATCTCCTATTCCCAGAACCGTTAAACAGGTAAGACAATTCAATGGCTTGGCAGGATATTTTAGAAAGTTTATTCCAAATTTTTCTCGCATTATGATGCCTCTATATGCCTTGACCAAGAAAGGTGCAAAATGGAATTGGACTCACGAACAAGAAATGGCTCGTAATAGAATAATAGACTTCTTAACAGCTGAACCTGTTCTCTCCATATTTCAAGAAAATGCTCCCATAGAATTATATACAGATGCAAGCTCTCTTGGTTATGGGGCAGTACTCGTTCAAGTCCTAAACAATCGACAGCATGCAGTCGCTTATATGAGCATGCGAACAACTGACGCTGAAAGCAGATACCATTCATACGAGCTTGAAACTCTCGCAGTGGTCCGCGCTATTAAACATTTTCGACACTTCTTGTATGGTAGAAAATTCAAATTAATAACGGACTGTAATTCATTGAAAGCATCGAAACACAAACAAGATCTTCTTCCACGTATTCACCGTTGGTGGGCATTCCTTCAAAATTTCGATTTTGAAGTTGAATATAGGAAAGGTGATAGACTGCAGCATGCGGACTTCTTTAGTCGGAATCCCATCCCCATTAAAGAATCTCAGGTGAACATTATGACCCGAGACCTAGAGTGGTTAAAAATAGAACAGAGACGGGACCCTGCTTTAAGGCCAATCATGGACCAAATTATTGAAGGAAATTCTGATTCTGGTTATTCTCTGGAAGATGGGGTCGTCAAGAAAACCATAGATAATCCTATTATAGGACCACAGAAGTTAACAGTTGTACCAACTGCTTTCCAATATAGTCTCATAAATGCCTACCATAGTTCTCTCAAACATGTTGGTTGGGAAAAAACTTTATTGAAAATTAAAGAATCCTATTGGTTCGAAAAAATGAACAGCATCATTCGCACTTTTGTAGACAATTGTATAATTTGCAAAATGTCAAAAAATTCATCAGGATCAAGGCAAGTCAGATTGCATCCCATACCAAAACCCTCTTCGGCATTCGAAGTTATTCACATGGACATTACTGGCAAACTTGGCATACCAACTGATCAGCAATACGTTATCGTGACTATTGATGCCTTTTCAAAATATGTCTTATTATATCATGCCAATGATAAAAGCCACCATAGTACTTTGGCAGCTCTAAAACAAGTGGTACACCTGTTTGGTACACCAAGAGAAATAATTGTTGACGGTGGTCGAGAGTTTTTAGGAGAGTATAAATCTTTTTGTGATGGTTATGGAATTAATATCCACGCCATTTCACCAGGTATTAGCCGAGCAAATGGACAAGTAGAGCGAGTCATGTCCATCTTGAAAAATGGATTAGTGATGATCAAGAACTATGAAACTCCAGAATGGCACACTGCATTAGGGGGCTTACAGCTTGCGTTAAATTGTACAGTTCATAAAACATTAGGCGTTTCTCCCTTAACTTTACTGACGCGCCGCCAGCACTGTGTTCCTCCAGAGTTAATAAACTTAGTTAACATTGATGAAAATAGAATAGATATGCAAAAATTAGAACAACATGTTAAAAAACGAACAATAGAATTTGCCGCTAAAGCTAAAAAACGATTTGATGAAGGAAAAGCTAAGATTAACCATTTTAAGCGCGGAGATTACGTCATGATTAAAAACAATCCAAGGAATCAGACCTCATTAGACTTAAAATTTAGTGAACCATATGAGATTTATAAAATTTTAGATAATGACCGTTATCTTGTTAAGCGTGTTATAGAAAGAGGAAGACCACGAAAAGTAGCTCACGATCAATTGCGAAAAGCACCTAATCCACAAGAACAGATGGCAGTGTCGCAAATGGATGAGCATGATGACAACAGTCACGAAGACATCGACACAACGGCTTCTTCCTCTCCAAGATCATAAATATTAACCGATGGTATGACACGTGTAGTGTATGCTCATCACACTTAAAAAAAAAAAAAAAAAAAAAAATCTACATAAAGATAGCATGACACGTGTAGTGTATGCTCATCACATCTACAAAAAAAAAAAAAAAAAAAAAAAAAAAAAAAAACAATCTACATAAAGATGGCATGACACGTGTAGTGTATGCTCATCACATCTACAAATAAAAAAAAAAAAAAAAAAAAAAAAAAAAAAAAAAAACAATCTAAATAAAGATGGCATGACACGTGTAGTGTATGCTCATCACATCTACAAAAAAAAAAAAAAAAAAAAAAAAACAATCTAAATAAAGATGGCATGACACGTGTAGTGTATGCTCATCACATCTACAAAAAAAAAAAAAAAAAAAAAAAAAAAAAAAAAAAAAAAAAAAAAAACAATCTAAATAAAGATGGCATGACGCGTGTAGTGTATGCACATCACAACTCTGCAACTACAAAAGTAATTTAAAAAAAAATATTATAATTTCAGATTCGGCATCACTGAAGTCACACCTCTTCATGATAACGAGACGTTGGCGCTGAGCACGCACCAACCGTCAGTATGGCCGTGTCGCGCCGGGAGATTAGTAGTTCCAAGAAAATATTCCTTTCCGCGAATTCGTTTAAATATTAATAATTATTGTTCTAAGAAACCATTATAAATGTCTACAAATTACCCACTTCATCAATTTGTAAATAGTCTTAGTAAAATATCAGGTGATTATTTTTGTTCAAGTACCCACAATTGTAAAAGAGAATCTACCATATAAAAGGCCGAGCATAATCGTACTAAATTCATTCTACATCAGTCGCTCTTAGGAGTCACTCTGGTAGAATCTCTGCTAAACAGTTCTTGAGTCATTGTGGGAATTTGTTAAGCAATAAACGAGTAACATTTAAAGTGAAGACCCTCTTTTCTTTAAAATGGAAACCCGTGCTACGTCGCCGATACTGAACGCCAAGACCCGAAGGCCGTCTAAGGGACTAAGGCCTCAATCTCTGTCCCACGAGGATCCCCTCGCTCTCACATGTACAATTAGAATGTTTGGTTTAAAAATTATTTAACCACAAATTATATATCACATCTCTAACAGTTACTTAAATTTAAACATTCCATTTACTATTTACACATACACACAACACATATTAAAGGCAAAATTTATTCTACCTTTATTCTGAATCTTATTTTATACACTCTTTTGTACCGATAATACAAAAAATAATAATTTCATCGGCTAAGTCATAATTTTAATTTTTTTTTTAAACCCGGTAACATTATGTAAATTTTTCAATAATTTTTGTGATACTTGAATAACAACCGGACACTATTACAATGATGTACACTATTAATAAAAGAGCATTTTTCCATAAAATATAAGAATATTTCCCCAATCCTCTCTCCCATTTGTGAACAGTTTGAACTACAACTGGAATTAGAAGACCCAACGTTGAAAAAAATATGGCTCCGACGAGACCTATTAAAAGTTCAAGGTCTGGTACGGCAACTGCTAACACGACTGAAAGAATAACGTACACTTTACTAATATGATAATGGTTAAACTTAATTTTAAATTTAATTACCAAGCCATATGTACATATGTAATTTATTTAAATATATATATGTGAACATGTACATAATATAAATACAGACAAATTTCATCCTGTATCTATAATAACCAGATAGAATCATAAAATACTTATGAGTCTTTTTAAATCAATATATCCATGTATTATTCCTAAGACTAAAAGATACGACTATGGAAAATTTTATTTAATTAGACTAGTTTATTGATCTATAATAATGTATTGTGTGTCTTATGGATACATCATAATTTCAATGCCTGATATATGTCACTTATGTGTACAGCCCGATCACTCAGAGATTGTAAATGGACAATATGATTTTGAATTGGCGTTAATTTTTTTAAATATCTTTTATTTACCTTACTTACGTTTATTCAATTAAATTGAATAATCGTGACAACTTGCACTAAACTTACTAAATTTTGTCTAAGATCATTAAAAATTTATGAATTAAAAATATAACTACAAAAATTTCTAAAAGTCAAACACTATTATTCAAACGAGTAGTTTTCAAGGTTGCTTTGTGGAGGAGAAACAAACTATGGAGGAATTTGTTATCAAACATTATAGTAATATTGATATCCTGTAGATGTTATATACGTACAATAAAACTTTATAATTTTATAATACATATAAAATAAGTATTCTGTTATGTTATTCAGATATGTTATTTTATATACATTTGTTTTAAAATATAATTTCTATATATGAGGTAATACAAATATTGATTTTAATAAGCAATCAAAATTATATAAATAAAAATAGTAAATTTTGTTAATGTTATTTTTAATCATGATGAATTGACAGGTGTCGGAAACGTAATCTTTAAGCAGCTGTTTGAAGTATGTTTTCCTAATAGTAAAAAAAGATAAATCTGATTATAAAAACAATGGAAAATGACTACAGTTCAGTTGATTTTAAAAACTCAGTTTTTTCCTCTACATTTGAATCATTTGGAGGATATTTAGCGACGACGACCTCAACTTCATACTTGTTTTTATATCCAGTTTTATAAAAATATATGACTAATCGTTGAACGCTACGTCTCACGGACCTTTGAAAAACCCAAAATAATTAAACATTCCTTACCAGTAATCGTTACGCTCACAGTTCGTAGCATTATCTGTCCAAGGTTATGATATTTTTGACTGATTCTTTCTTTCATACGCAACCATAGAATATCCATTGGAGCATACATTTGGAGAAAATATGTAAAGAACACAGCCACAGCAACAAGAATTTTGGCTGCCAATGCCAGTCTGAAATGTTTCAATAATTTACTTTGCTTAGGTAAAAATGTAAAAAATAACTGTTCATACATTAAAACATACAATTTTTAAATGAAAGCAACATAAAAAACTTGCTAAAGATTTATTCCAATAGTCGGGTCAGCAAATATCTACTTTTTTGTTAGTTTTTGTGAGTAGTTTGTCACTCTTTTTATCTTAGAAAAAATAATATCATGTGTACATCCAAGGAGACTATAAACGTGACTTGACTATTGAGTTTAGTTCAAAAGAATTTGTTCATCTTCTTTACCAATTTATCATTATATATTTACCAATTTTCTTATGTCAAACGTCAATAAGATAGGCCAAACTAAAATAAAATAACCAATCCAATTTACATATACTTAAAAATAAAATCCTACAGATTTACATTTTAATGTTACCATAATATACGAGTATATTTGATATAAATGAAGTAATTGAGAAGGAAAAATACATATTTCGCTGTATTTTTACAGAACAAAATGTAAAAAAGAATGATCTCTCAAAAAGTACAATTCTAATTTTTCTTTTCGCTGATTCTTTATTTTGATTCACAAAAGTTGTTTAATTGGTTTTTGTTTGCGTTTTTAACAAGTCACGTTTGTTAGCATGAACACGGAATTATGTTAAAAATAAAACCTTGCAACAGATTTGTAAAGGAGTTATCTACGAGTAACTCAATAAAGATAACATGTTGTGTAACCAAACCAAATAATATAACTCTATATCCAATAACTGGATATTGCAACATGGAAAATTAATGTTCTAGAATCTAGTGCATTTCCATAAAATGAATTTCAGTGTATAGGAAGAACACTGTGAATTATTGCATAGGAGAAAACTCTTTAGTTACTTTTCTAATTCTACATACAATTTCTTTTGAGTAATGATCTGTTTTTATTTTTAATAATTAAGTCGTGTACTTACAGTTCATCTTCAGGTAAGTTCAAGGTTATACTTCCAAGTACACCTTCCCCATATTTCAAGTATCCAAAAAATCCCACAACAGCATACAGGATCACTACTACCAACATAGTGGCATTTAACACTCCAGGACAGCCCAGAAAATGTTCCGGATTACTCATCTCATTCTCTACTGGCATAACCACGTTGATTCCTTCCATCGAAAATATAGCTGTACTAAATCACAACATTTCAACAATCAAATCGTGCATTAAGAAAGAATCATAATAATTATATATCTGATCTTAATAAAATTGATTGCTTGTTCTTGAACTTCTGTTCATTGTTATTCAACAATTTTACACATGGTTATTCATTCACCGCTTCGTGAAAGTTTTGAGCAATGTGAACTAATAGGATAACTTAGTTTGAGTAATCTAAACTAATAGAATAACACTGTGATCTTAAAACAGCTTTACCTGAATTTGTAGGTTATTCCGAAACAAAATAAAAATTTATTTTCGTTGGTAATATATACATCTTTATTATATTAATAATTGTACTTTAAGAATTTTCATACAAATATAATTCGTATATTTTGTGTGTTGTATTTTTATATATATTGAAAATTATTTAATTGCGTTCTTAAAAAACAGTACAGAAAATATAACACAAAAAATTCAAGTTTAGGTATTTCTGTAACTATACATAAAAATAGATTATTTTTTACCTCAGAAACAGAGGCCATTGCTCTACACTGGAGATAAGATTGACATCAGCCGCCTTTGATAAATCCATGAAGGTGTAATAACACGTCGCTAGGAATGTCAAAAGGAGACACACGTTCGCAAATATGGAGAATGGAACAAGAAATTTTAGATGCCTCACTTGAGTTAGAACTACAAGAGGCAAAAGTAATATGGCACAATACAGTTCCACTGAATACTTATGTTCGGGATAAAAGTGATCCAAGATCTGGAAAAAAAGGATAATTTAAATTTCATTACAGTAATTACTTACAGTAATCTCAATATCCCTATTTTCAATATAAGTAATGAAACTTTTCTTTCTGAAAGACTTATATTCAATATATATTAAATGCACATTGTTTTCAGTTTAAAATGTATCAAATAAATAATAAATTTATATCCTTTTAATAAGTATTCATTTCGTAAAGGACAGTTAGGACACAGTAAACAATAATAAAATTCAAAAATTTTATCAAATTTCCATAATTAAAATATGATATAATAAAAGAAATTTGAATTTTCATTAACTGTCGCTGTAATAAATTTTAAAAGACTTTATTTATTCATAATGAGAAAAAACCCTTTATATTAATTTCTATAAACTTGTCAGCGTATAACTAGCTTGTTTAAAGACAAGAAATGTTTTGCTTGCTCTTTCCATATACCTTTGAACTTTAGTTTTAAAAGCATGTTTAAAACAACTAACTTTATTAAGTTCCTTTATTTAGTTTCTTCAATGTATGAAGAACAATATATATGTTTAATGTCTAACAAAATAAAGAATTATATCAACATTATTAAATATTTTGTTTCTTTTATTTAAATGAATAAGGCTTGCGAAAATCTTAGATCTCAATTTGTTTCTTTCAGTTTCTCAACATGGATTTAAAAATTTGCAATTAATATAATTTAAAGACCTTATGTTTTAAAAACTATCACATGTTAAGATGTCAAATAAAATCGTATCTCTCGATGTAACTTACGTTTTTTAAGGAAGACGCAATGAAAATAACATAAACACTGGTTCCGCCGATACAGACTCCAGCCATAGCGTAGTCCACGAAGTTTCTGAATGAAAATTATGTTTATCCTTTAAAAACGAATCCTTAATGATGTTTTTATAACAATAACTCAAGGAATATGTATGACTAGCGATGAATTATTAAAACTTCGTAACTGATGGTAATGTTATAAAATAAAATGATGTGACGCCGTTAAGATCATAACGTATTTCACTGCACCATTAAAAAGGAAAGCTTTTGGTTTCATAATTAAAGGCTATTTATTTATAGGGAAAACAAAAAATATTAAATCTATAAAAAGAATTCGTAAATCATATATTTATAAAAACTCAAACAGGAAAAAAGAAAACATTGAATTAGCGAAATTATAAATACAAATGAAAACAATTAAGTAACATATTTGTAGGAGGGCGTTATAAGAACAGGAGGGCCTTCATGGGAACTCATACTTTGAAAGGGATAAAGTACAGTCTATTCAATACGACACCAACTCAATCGAAACACTAGATATCACTATCACTTCGATACACAGCGATTCGTCACGAGCGTGGTCGCGGGCGTCATCTCGCACGATACTCTATCATAAAGATGGCCGCCCTCGCTACCATCACAATGACGCTTCACTAGGCTAACCTCAGACAGCTAAAAGTCCACCTGACGTATGATTTTTGACGGATGCGCCGTCACGGCCGGACTGACATCCGACCGTCCTCGGGCGGTTCTCGGATCAATGAACTACAGTTGTGTCTATTCCGTTCGGCATCCTGACAAACGACTAGTTACAATCATCAAAATGTGCTATGGTACTTAAGACTTAAGGCGAGCATCTCGTAGCAATTAAGCCAGACGACAACATTCATCTCACCACAATGTTCAAAGCATCCAGAACAAGTCAACCAACTTAAAGGGCTCTGACCCGGACGACTACATTCGTCTTGCCACAATGTTCAAAGCATCCAGAACAAGTCAACCAACTTAAAGGGCTCTGACCCGGACGACTACATTCGTCTTGCCACAATGTTCAAAGCATCCAGAACAAGTCAGCCAACTTAAAGGGCTCTGACTCGGACGACTACGTTCGTCTTACCAGAACAAGTCAGCCAACTTAAATGGCTCTAACTCGGACGACTACATTCGTCTTACCAGAACAAGTCAGCCAACTTAAATGGCTCCTGACTCGGACGACTACGTTCGTCTTACCAGAACAAGTCAGCCAACTTAAATGGCTCCTGACTCGGACGACTACGTTCGTCTTACCAGAACAAGTCAGCCAACTTAAATGGCTCCTGACTCGGACGACTACGTTCGTCTTACCAGAACAAGTCAGCCAACTTAAATGGCTCCTGACTCGGACGACTACGTTCGTCTTACCAGAACAAGTCAGCCAACTTAAATGGCTCCTGACTCGGACGACTACATTCGTCTTACCAGAACAAGTCAGCCAACTTAAATGGCTCCTGACTCGGACGACTACATTCGTCTTACCAGAACAAGTCAGCCAACTTAAATGGCTCCTGACTCGGACGACTACATTCGTCTTACCAGAACAAGTCAGCCAACTTAAATGGCTCCTGACTCGGACGACAATATTCGTCTTACCAGAACAAGTCAGCCAACTTAAATGGCTCTGACTCGGACGACAATATTCGTCTCACCAGAACAAGTCAGCCAACTTAAATGGCTCTGACCTGGACGACAATATTCGTCTGACCACAATCTGCAGAGCATCCAGAACAACTCAGCCAAACGAATGAACGATGATCGAGACTCCAATGAGCTAGCCCCATCATCTCCACTACTTATACTCATGTGAGTGAACGATGACCCGGACATAGACTCCACAGAGCTAGCCCGTCCATCTTCACAACCTGATCAAGCGTCGACCGGACGTGGACTCCATCGAGCCAGCCCCTGCACGCTTTGATCCATCACTACTAGAAACATCGGCCGCATCAGCCAGTTCCATCGCCACCTCAAACACACCAACTCAAACTTACACAACTCATTTATGGTTTATCAATGTTGGAGGCCATCAGAGCTACTCAGCTACTCACTTTCATCATCTGACATAGCTTCGTTTCCATTCTCTCCACTCCATGACCCGCCGTCTCGGCCTCCTCATTACTTAGTTCAGTGGATATGTCAACTAACCCTTCAAAGCCTCTGGGTACTGCGCCCAAGTTTTCATGAGAGTATTTTAAAGTGCAATTAGATTCATCGGTATGTTTCAGTTCGTACCTATCGTTGTCTAGAATTTTAGTTATGATAAAAGGTCCCCTAAACTTTCTTTGCAGTTTAGTTTGGTAACATTTGCTCCCCGAGAAAGAAAAAAAAAAGGTTTTACTTGGGCTTTGCCTTTACTAAATTTAACTATTTCCTTTTGATCTGCGTTTTCAGTGTTGAGGGAAGTTTTATTCCGGATATTGTCTAAATCTAATCTCGGCTCGTTTGAATTTTGGGCTATTAATGATATCCCTAAAGATTGCGCGCGAATGCCAAACATTAGTTCTGTTGGAGTATATCCTGTAACACTACGGCTTGTGTTATTAAGTGCTAGATGACTCTCCCAGATCAGAGTAATTTAGTAAGATGGGGTAAAGGTACCGAAAACACTTGCTATATCTGCGGAAAGGCAGTTGGAACTGCTAAGCATTTGCTAGTGAGATGTAAGGTTCTCCTGGACAGCGGTCAATTCTCGCGTCGTCACTATAGGGTTTTAGAGATCATGCTTGAAGCGGTTAGCTTTTCGGTAGCCAGAGCGCAAAGGGAAATAACCACAAACGAGCGATCAATAGGTTTTGTGAGAGAGAGCACCAGGGCTATAAAATCAAACGTCAAGCCTTACTCTATCCTTAAAGCGGCTTCGGATTGGACTATCATGATGGATACGTATGAGAAACAACACAAAATCCCCGAGGATATTTGTGCGTCAGCCTCCAGACCAGACATATTTCTATATTCGCGTATTTTAAAGCGCGTTGTGATGATAGAGCCTACGGTGCCTTGGGAAACCAACATCCCCAAAGACCATGCCATCAAGGTCATTAAGTATTACGAGCTCACTAACGAACTAACTCGAAATAGGTTCGTCCGCGGTAGAGGTGGGAGCGAGAGGCATAACAGCCAAATCTCTCTACAACCTACTAAAAGACTTGGGCCCGTCCAGAACCAACATTAATTCATTCTCGGAACGTACGTCGAAAGCAGCCCTAGCAGGTTCCTTCCAAATTTGGCTAGGTAGGGAGAGGAACTTGGACAGTGGAGGTGAGCGTACAACGCGCGTTAGTTAAGGGACCCCTTAAACCCACACCTGGGTCGCAAGTCCCAGGCACTGCTGAAGCTCCCCTCCCTGCAACGCGATGGACCCGGCACCCGCACGGTGAATCCATTGAATGCTAAGCGGTTTCGTCCCTTGTACCTCAGGAAGTTTGTCACGCCACGTTTTATGGGTATCGTTTTCTATAATAGTTAGCAGACATTTTAAAATCTGCATGACCCTTTCTACTTGACCGTTGGCTTTATTTGCCCCTGTTGTTATAAAGTAAAGTTCTATACGAGGTGTTTTACTCAATTCTCTAAAGTCCGCGCTTACAAAGCCCCTTCCCCGATATAACAATTCGCTTGAGAACACCGAAAAGAGAAACAGCTTTTCTCAACGCTTTAATAGTACAACTGGCATCGAGGGATAGAGTATGCTCTTGAAGGACATACTTGATAACATAATCAATCATTACTGACGCGTATTTCTTTTCTGTCGCTTTTGCCACTTAATGTCCCAGTCATATCTATGTGAATAGTATGCCAATAAAATGTATGCAAATCCTTAGGAGAATTTACATGGCCAAAATAGCAATAACCCCACTGAATAAAATTTGGAGAGATAGGAAAATTATTAATGGAACAAAAATGCATCTGATACGAACGCTTGCCTTCTCTATATTTCTATCTATCTAGCTATCCGATTCTGTATAGTGCAAAGACGTGGACTATGAAAGTCGTTGACAGGCAAAGAATTGATGCCTTAGGAATGTGGTGATGACGAAGTATGTTACGCATACCTCAAAATATGGTCAGCGCTTATCTAATATCTATTTGCAGCACATACTGGCGTTGATTGGTCAGTTCCCTGACCGAACTACGGACAGCTTTAAACGTCCGCTAGTGATTGAAAAAGTGGACGGTAACCGAACTAGAGGACTAAATCCCAAAAGGTGACTGGACCAAATCCCAGAACACCTAAAAATACCTGCCTGCGTTGCACTCCATCAAGAAACTAAACGTGTCTATCTCAGTATGGATATGGTTGATTTAAGTCCATACAAGGGACTGATGGACGATAGGTTACCAACGACTAACTTTGTTTCGCTCAATTTTTTTTCGATATAGCATATTGTTTCTAACATCGTAGATGTGACTAATTGAATCGGGAAACTTATTATTTAAGAGCTGAGCAACAATATCTTGAACATATGCATCACGTTTTTGTTCTACCGCTAACCACCCTTGATTTACCTCTACAAACTGCACAGACTTATTAACTACTTGAGCCTTGCTTTTGTCGCTCTTGGAAGTGCCCTGCTCAGGGTCATCTATGTACTGTCGGTGTTAATTTTTTTTTTTTTTTTTTAACTAAGAAGCTTTGAAAGGATTGCCACCCGTGAAAACGATAAAATGATGACCATATAGCTTTTGCTTCAAATATTCTTCCGCTCGAACGACTGCCGAGGTCTCAAGTTCATAAGAATGATACTTTTATTCCGTGTCAGTTTTCCGGCGACTGAAATATGAAATAACGTGAGGAACTCCGTGCTTTCATTTAATTAAAATGGTACCGTATCCGTTGGCGCTGGCATTCGTGTGTAATTCTATAGGAGGCTCGCGATCAAATATAGTTAGAATAGACTCCGTGGTAAGTATTTGAACTATCCATTTACGAATATTACCGTGGACTTCTGACCGTTTAATTAAACCCTTTAACTTAGTGAGTAGACATAAGGATCGTACTAGGCGGAAATAGTTCGGTATAAAATTTCTAAAACAAAAGGCTTACTATAAGAATTGGTGTTAATCTCCCTAGAGTCAACATACATTATGTCAGAGTTGTCATTCGGTTTTTTTTTTTTTTTTTTGACAATTAGAATGGGGCTTGATAAAGTGTAAAATGATTGTTTCAAAGAGGGCATCCATTTTTTTTTTTTTCGAACAACCTCTTATAATTTGTAAGGTCTCTCTTAGACTATGTTAGGGTCTAAAGAATTAGGGTCTAAAGAGTTAAGAGGTGCCCTTAATAATAAAATGAGTTATACTTCTTAAAAACATCGATAAGGGCTTTGTTATCGTCGCCTTCCAAATAAGTTTTGATACAAGAAAAGTTAAGACTGTCTGAGGTTGGGCACTTATCTGTTTTTGTCGTTTCAGGTTTTGAGAAAATAATGTAGTCACTGTTTATCTCTCCTTTAACCCCCCACTCTACAAGGTCCCGTCCAACAACCACGGATTCAAGAATAATATTCTCTTTAATAATATGAAACAAAAGAGACACTGAAACACTTTGAATTATGACCGGGCTTAAAATTTGTGTATTACAATAAGTCTCCGATGCCTTTCAGGGGAACTACTTCATTGCTCAAAGTACACAGAAATTTATTTGAAAAATTTTCAGATACAGACACACATTAGTACTACATGAACAAGTACACCCACTACTAAAAAGAAAAGGAACAGTCTCACCAGATGACGTCGTCAACTCCCCTCGGCTCGGCCCATGGTCACACAGATATCTCCTTCACCGGCGAGCCTCAATTACCGGTACCTTTTACGATCAAGACACGACGAGACGTCCTAACCCTTATATCTGCTTCCGTACGATCCAGATTGAACCGGATCAACTACGTCGTCGAAGTTAGTTGAGAAGTTGACATTATTTTCATCGACAAGTTTCTCATTATTTTTTACAAAGTTTAACATAGATGGATGATCACTACTCTCCTCATTTTTAAGCCCTTTCGATCCCACTTCTGATGTAGGAGGGCGTTATAAGAACAGGAGGGCCTTCATGGGAACTCATACTTTGAAAGGGATAAAGTACAGTCTATTCAATACGACACCAACTCAATCGAAACACTAGATATCACTATCACTTCGATACACAGCGATTCGTCACGAGCGTGGTCGCGGGCGTCATCTCGCACGATACTCTATCATAAAGATGGCCGCCCTCGCTACCATCACAATGACGCTTCACTAGGCTAACCTCAGACAGCTAAAAGTCCACCTGACGTATGATTTTTGACGGATGCGCCGTCATATTTTTAACTTCAAAGTAATAAAAGAGTCACGTAGTATTACAACGGAAATAACAAGCGGGTTTAATCTACAAAATATTTTTATAATTCCAGTTCTTTAATCATTCAATGTATGATAAAATTTTTAATTACAAATGAAAATGTTACAGACACGTTAAATTATCATGCATTTAATAGTCATTTTCGTTTCGTATCTCAGTTTTAACCTAATTAATCCGTTATATTACAAATTAGTTTTTTGTTTGCACTTCACATAGAGAAGATTATCATATCTTTAATGTAAAAAATATACAGGGTGACTGGTGAATTACTATCGATATTTGACGATCATATATGACAAAATAAAAGTCAGTGGTGGCTCAGTGGTTAAAGGGCCCGCCTCTCGTCGCCGAGGGCGCGGGTTCGATCCTGACCCGGGCAAGTACCAATGTGATTTTTCCGAATCATATGTACTTTCTAATAGTATTTAGACATCACTGATTAATGTTGATTCCCAAAAGAGGGTTGATGTCAGGCAGGCGGCCGGTCGTAAAACAAATAGCCAAAAACTATTCACAACATGTAAGGCAGACCCTGGCTGTAGCTGGGAAATTGCCAGGTAGAAGAAGATATATGACAAAATAAAAATGAATATAACATAAATATTAATAAACTTCTAAGTAAAGTTAACCAAAAGTTATGTAATTAATTACGCATCGTATGAACACCCTACAGATTATGTATACACACACACACACACTCGCGCGCGGCGGCGTGTTGTTGTATCAGCACGCCGCCGCACGCGTCCACACTTGGAACACTTGGAACGTGTACACACTTTATTTATTTATACGGAAATTTGGTCAAAAATTAAGTACCTATTTTTTTTACATAATTCGAATGAGAATCATGTACTGAGTATGTTCCTTAAATATTGATAGTAATTCACCAGTCACCCTGTATAATTTATATTTTTTATGAACTTATAATATGATAGAGACCGTTTTGTGTGTGATTGTACCAAACAAAGTAAGTAAAAATTAATAAGAATATAAAAAATAGCAATAGAACTGTAAATAAATGAGATAAAATGAGATAAATAATTTGTGAAACTTAATTTCACTCACATAAGATCGTCAACGTTAGATTGTTGATAACAACTTATAAATAGTTGTAAACGAATATTTATAGTATTTACAAATTGTATGTAGTATTATAAGAAATATAAATTGTTCCATTTACTTTATGAATAAAACATGTTAATCATTGTTTTCTTATTATTTTATCATATAAAACTGTTTGCTTAGGAATCAGAGGCCTTTTAGATAATATAGTGGATTACTAAGGATTTTCCCTACTCACAATTATGTTTTAACAGCTATTGAATTATATGATAAATTTGAGATTGTGGATCGATGAATATCTATTAAGTATAAAGTTGAATATATTTATGTATTAGCTATGGTTTTAAATTCTGTTAGAAATTATAAACAAATTTTCCTATTCTTCAAGAATTCAAATTCTCTTTTAATTAATTTTGACTAAACAGTAATTTATTTCCCAGAATGGTATTCGGTTGGCGATTTAAAGTATCATAAGCTATCATATTTTTGTAACGGTTTTACGGCTTACTAATATTTTTATAATAAATTTTAAAGTACCGCAAATATTTGTCCTCAAATTTAAATTTGTGAATGTTGACCTAAAAATCTTATTTAATGAAAGATTTCTTCTTATCATAATTTTAATAAAAAGTAATATCACACAGAGATCGAGTGATATTTAATGAGTGCTTAGATTTTATGAGATTCTATAAAAGATAAGTATACTTAAGATAAGAGGACATACCGACCTTACGAATCCAGTGTAAGACCTTAGCCTGTTAGGTCCATGTTTAAATACTTTGACACAAGTATCTGTGTAACTTAATGATCCCAGACGACATTCTTCGCAGATGTCGCGAGAAGTTTTCACCTTAAAGCAACAAATAATATCACTTCACTTGTTAACATGTTAGTATGTACCGTCTAGTTTTAGATAAAACAACATAGTTTCAATCAATCAATCGATCAATGTAATAAAAAAGTATGTAGTACTCAAATCCCAGGCCCTACATGAATGATATGTGAAAACGTACATAAATAATTAATATACCTTCAATATTTTACCTCTATATTTAAATAATATGTATTTATAATGCTTTTTGGTGTTAAGTATAACTGTACAAAAAGTCGCTTAAATAAAAAGTATTCGCATTCGTATGTAAGCATATCTATACTATGTAATATTATAAAGCTGAAGAGTTTGTTTGTTTGTTTGTTTAAAAGCGCTAATCTCCGAAACTACTGGTTCGAATAGAATAATTCTTTTTGTATTGGATAGTCCAGTTACCTAGGAAGGCTGTGGGCTATATAACATCACGCTACGTCCAATAGGAGCAAAGATATAGGGGTAAATGTGTAAAAAACGGGAATAATTATTTCATCGGAAAACGGCTCAAGATACACAAAAAATATGTATTAAAGAATAATAGCTCTTTTAATAATCTAAAAAACAGTTCGCGACAGTATATGTCTATCTTTTAAGATTAACTCACAAAAACCGTTTTTATGGTACCTAATTTGGTCGAAATAATTTGTTTAAGTTGTATCAACATAATAATATTAATCTTTATTCAAATAAACAAATAAATATATTGTTGGTTAAGAACTTCATTGTGAATAAAAAAAACATAGGTTTTATCCTGAAAATTCTACGGGAACTCGACCATTCCGAAAACCCCGCAAGAACGAGAACTATGTGGGAAGAACCAAAAATCTGCCGGAAGTCACTATTCCACGCGGACGAAGTCGCGGCAAAAGCTAGTATAGTATGAAAGATAAAAGAAAAACTAATATTATTATCTATATGCAAAACTATGTTTTAAATAAAAAATGTGATATCATACATGTTTGTAATTAATTTTTTTTACAAGAATTTATAACCACTAATCCGTTAATATATTTTATTTACTGGCATTTGTATGACTTTCAGTGTCGTTAAAAGAATATAAATACCTGCATAAATTACAAACAAAAATACATACATGGGAACAAGTTCAAATTTAACCTGTATATCGAATTTCGCTAAAGAAACCGGTTTATAGTATGTAGCCTGTATCAAGTTTTGTATATACATACTTGAACATAATTTTGACATAAACAAGGTACAAAATAACAAATAAAAAAATTAAATAAAAATCTTATTCGAAAAACGGGTTTGATATTCATCGTATCACCTACATTACTTGCATTTTTGTTCTTATTAAGGTTTGGTAAAATATATTCCGAAGAGATAAAACCTCACGACTTTGGGGTTCCTTACTAAATGAGTGAAACCTTCATATGATAGGTTGAGTTCATTTATCAATACTAGTGTTATAGAGCTGCCTATTGTAATAATTGTCATTATATTTTATGTTATGTCTTTTAACATATAATCCAAAAAGTATTTTGCTAATATAAAAGACTAATGTAATCTAATTTCCAACTAAAATTATCTAACCATTTTATTACAATTTTTTTGTTTACGTATGCGAGCTATATTTATACTGTTCCCGAGTATTTAATTTATTTTTATTCAAGGCCCGTTCATAAAAAATAACTTTTAATTAATTGGCAATATTATTTAGGTATTTATTCTAAAAATAGAACATGAAAACAATTCTTGGAAAAAAATTAATTAAAATAATGGTTTGACTACTATGTAAGACTGAAGATTTACTTTGATTATACTTCATAAATAAATTAAATTGGCAAAAATACAACAGTGGAGATATTATTACTATTCATATAATCATATATTTACTGTTCAAAACACAAGTACACTTTGTACAAAAAATAATCAGGGAACAACATTTATTTTTATTAAAACAGTTTTCTTGAAAAAAGGTATGATTTTTTTTTGAAATAAAGTTATTTTCTAAACTATTACATATATATATCATAATGATTATATTATATGTATATAAATTATTTGCAATAGTTATAATTGAAATATTTTAAATATGTTTAAAGATTCTGTATTCTAAAATTGTAAACTTTTTTGTTTTGAAAGCCCCATATAAAGGCAAGTCAAAATTGGGTATTGCAGCACAAAAAAACTATACACGACAATTTTGTAACGTTTCATCTTATATTACGTAAAAACATTGATTATGGTATTCTAATATTGATTAATGTCATGCTTAGTAACAAAAAGAAAGCTTACATACTAGACATAAGAATGAAAAATAATCAGAGTTACATAATTTAAAATTAAATGAAAGTAACGGCATTATTATTATTATTGAGAAGGAATACTCACTAATATATGAACACAATGTGTAGCGATAATAGCCACTAATACTATTCCGATACTTCCTGGGATCAGGCCACTGTTTTTAAATGCCGCTGGCATTGCCAGCAGTCCTGTTCCTAACGCTGATTTGAGCAAATGAAAGAATGAACCCAGAGTCCTGTAAATGATGACACTCTTTTAATCTCTCGTTTGATATATATAATTGGTAGCAAAATTTTACAAATCATACATATACGTGCTTTTTTTTAACAAGGAGAATTTAATACATATACGTGCTATAGATTCCTCATTTATACTCTTTTACATACTTTGTAAGTATTTTTATAACGATTTAAATTTTTGACTTTTTCGTAATTTAAATTAAAAAACAAGGAATATTCTAAAATTTTTAACAGAATACAAAAGAAAGAGGAAAATACGAAAACTGGTAAAAAATTATTGCACTAGCAATAAACCGTTTAATCTCATAATGAAATGTTGTTAAGAACTTGACACTTAAGTTCTTCATTATAAAAGAAACCTCTATTTCCATAGCATTTGCGAAGTAAAAAGCTTTCTATTCTTCTAGTTATGGCTTGAAAACTAGTGGATAGTATGTGAAAGGCTATGAGAGAAGTATAGTTAAGTAAAAACAATGTTTTTAATATGAATAATATAAAATTAATTAATACATACGACGTCGTGTGTGGCACATTCCTGTTTTCGAATGGGTTATATTTTTCATTGAGGTCAACACTTTCTGACCGAAGGGTTGTCGTAGATTCCATTCTGAACACATTGTTCTTTTCATCCATACTACAAACAAAATAGGATGTTACTCAATGAATTCAAGATAAATATTTGTATGAATATATTATAAGAATCTGAACGCCGGTGATTAAATATTTAAAATATTCTTAATAAATTGCTACTGATTAGTGTAAAGTAAAATGACAAGATACCATTATCTAAAATAACCTCTTTTAAAAGTATTGTAATCATTTTACAAAATTTCACACATAGGAGTGTACGCAATTTCCACGTTCACAACTAAAATAAAAATACAATGTTAGATGCTATTGCCCCTATTTGTTCCACTGTCAGTTTTCCTGCGTGTGGTTAAGATATGCTTTACCGATTCGACCCTTAATATATTTAGGAACTTGTTTTGCAAAACTGAACATTTTTATATTTGTCAGATGTATTCAAGAGATAATAAAAGCATATCAATCATTAATATTTATTCAAAATAATTTTACTAAAAGAAACTAATTGCAACACCTAAGTAAAAACAAAATCAACGTTCTAGCAACTGACTAAAATGGTTTAATGCCATAGTTTCACCAAACACAGGTGTGACAACACCTTCTTATAGAAAACAGGTGATCAGTCCATTTTAGTTGCGTTTGTTTATTTAAGGAGGCTTTTAGTGCATTTTTCTTTTCTTTCAAGGACTTTCTCTTTCCTTACTAAATTCTTTTATCACCCACCACTACAATTGCAGAACTTCACAACAATAGTTGTTAATTATGAATTAATGACAAAATTTATCAAATCATATCGTAGAAGCAATGACCTAGACTTTTAATTCCATCAATTATAAATGATTTGAAGTAATGCTAACAAAAAAAATTCTTGTTTTGATAAACATAATTATCATTACAAAAACTTTATTCATATAATTAGTTATTTATTAAAAAACAACTGCTAATATCAAAATTATTATTTTCATTTTCAATTATGTAATGTTTTAATAAGTCGAAACATTGAATATAATTCACGATAAATAAACAAAAATATCTTTCATTTCTCATTATCAATATTTCATTAAATACTCTTCGAGCATTATAACCGAACAACGATTTCGTAACTATGGGTAATTTAACTTAATTACTGCGCGGCCAATTTTCATACCATTTGAAATATGTGTCGATAAGGTAAAAGACAAACGAACAACTTTGCTGAATAAATACTCCTGCTATAAAAGTAAAAATCAATTGCTACTCAATTAGATTAATTGGAAACATGCAATATTTAAACATAAATAAGTATTTTTATTACAGTTTTGAAATACGCTACATTGTGCATGATTCAATAGCTCACTTGAATTTGCAGGTAATTCCCTTCATCCTATCAATTATTATAACTAGAACTACACCAAAATGAATAATAACTTTTATAAAAATACAGCCTTTGTATTAGTATTAACACTTTTATATATAATTACGAAAAACTTGAGAGATCTTCATTATCTAGCTATATTTAAAATAAATACTTTTTTTAAACTTTTATGAACAAAATATAAAATTAAAATAATTATAACACCTTGTATTCTGCGTCATATTGGATTTAACATATCACATTAATTAACAAACACATAACAAAACACAAAACTTGTTAAACACGAGTGGGATCGAACTAAGTCGAGGAATGACTACTATCCGAGGCACTTGTAAATTCAAGAGTTAGTAATTGTGAATAGTGTGACCATGATGCATGAAGTTGTATCATTTTTTTGTTATTATAAGCATTTGTACAGGAAAACTCGTAAAACGATGTGTACAAATAACTCTTATGTGATTAATAATTTTATAAATATCAATATATAAAAAAATACACTTGGGAGACATCACAATAGCACATTTTTTTATTTCTAAGAAAAAAAAAGTATAAAATAATAATTCCAACTCTAATTTTATTTACTTCTAAATATGCCAAGAAAAACCAAACTTGTTTATTCACTGGAAACCAATAAAATCAAAAATATATGATCAGTGGTATTAAAATATCTAAATTATTCTCTATTCAATCGTAGCTCTTGTCATGTTATGAATAGCATTGATATAAGTTAATATCAAGAGATAAAATTATTACATATTGATTCTGAAAAACACATCCCCCTAATTAAAATGTAAATGTCAATTTACTGTTTGTTCTTAGATAAATACAATGAAGTACTTTTACAATATATGTTCAAATATCACTATAAAGTTATTATAAATTAAAAAAAAAATACTTTGATAATTTCTTTACTGGAGTTCATCAATGAAATCAAATTATTGTTTAATCGAATGGGTATTTTGAAACCTCATCGAGTATTATATCAAAAAAAAAATGGTTTAAGAACTGGATATATTCAATCCAAGAGAAAGCGTCCAAGAACTTGGAGTAGTCTTCTCTTTAAAAATCATATTATGAACTGGATGTTTACAAAAATGCAATATTTATGAATCACCTTCAATTAATAAATTCCGATTTTTCAAATCATGATGCCCTACTTTAATTTTGATATTTTTAATACATATATTTATTTAATTATAGTTTTCAAAATAAAATAAAAAAGATATTTATTCTAAATAACTAGAAAATGGCAAACCTTTTTGTGTCCCTACTAACCAATAATGTACAATTTGGACAATTCTTTTAGCAAACGATTCCAATTATCGTATATGTGGAGTGGTACTAATGTCATGTAATAATTTATAATTACTGAACTAAAAATCTCATACCATTTTTGGAACACTGTTATTATAATAATTACCTATAAACGCGATGAAAGCCTAATTTTCTTTTCCACAGTTCCGAACAATAACAAAAATTGGTCACTCTACACGTAGATAAGATAAAGTTATTGGTGTGTCTAGATCTCAACGTCTTATGTGACTTAAAGAAGTATTCTTAATATAACTGATCTAAGTTTGTGATAGATTTAATTACGAGTATTTACAAAGAAATAAATATAAAAACATAAGTCCAAAGTCACTTAATGACAAGGCTAAAAACACGAGTGTTTGCAATGATAAATATCTTGACAAATTATTTTTAACAATCAAATACTAAACTAATAACTTTTCAAATAAATATTATATTATATTATACGAGCCATAATTTAAAAAAATAATTTAATAAGCTTATTGGAGAATTAAACTGTCGTTTCTTTAAAGGTTTTCAAATATCAATATTATTACAAAAAGTGTCTCTTTTAATTATTTTTATCATGAAAAATGTGACTACTCCTAATAAGTAACAGGAATCGCTAACAAAAATATCTCGTCGTATTCTATATTCAGGGTTACAATTACAGTACAAGCCTTGGTTATTATTCAATTACCTTGAGGTTTTTTTATTAATTCATTATCTACGACTTATAATTGAGCATAAATTCTATAGTTATATTGATTTCTTTATTTTTCATTATTTTCTTAAGTAATAGCGGTTATCAAATCAAATATAATCGATATGAAACCGAAGAAATAAAAATCCAACACATAGTAAGTAACATACAGTGCATACATTTATTGCACTAACAGTTTATAATTCTACCATGTGTAAATACAAAATAAACATTCTCAGCGACCTACTTATAAAAAATAAAGAAGTCGTCAACACAGCTTTCTAATGTCACGGAAGTGTATGTTATACAGATCTGTTATGTAATAAAAAGAAACAACAAAGAACAATATAAGGTGAATTCCAACTCGTGATCATGTTTTAGTGCAGAGAAATCACGTGTCTTTTTTATTACTAACCTCTATTTAACTTTACGTCGAGGTCACAACAAAAACATTGTATTAGTCACGATAGATTATTAGTTATTACTTAATGTTATATTTTCAAGATCATATATATGTATGTATCCTAAAAAATGCTGCAGCTATGTCGTATGCTTCTAATCGTCATTTGTTAATAAACAAAGTCACTAGACTTGTTTGATATCCTGTATTAAAAGAGCAACTGGTTATGACATTGACGTAAAATATATCGCTTTAAAATTTTAAATTATAGATCGTCGGAAGTTAACCCGAAATTATGTTTACAATAATGAAGATCTCTAAAATGTTACGATTGTTGTTAAGTTTTTTTCTCTAAAATTTTATTATAAAATAAGGATTAATAACTCCATGGGAAGTTATTTACAACTATAATATATTATAAGTTAAGTCAGCTACTTGTTTTATAAGAGTTAATATATATTTCTCTTGGGTCAATCCTCGTCTGCAAGGTAAAGGACACCTACAGAGCAATGCACGCATAACACACTTGTACATCTCAAAGTTTGAAGCCTTCCATACAATTACATAAGCGTTGGAACTCCGCAAGGTCTATGCGAAGCAATTCTCCCTTTTCCTCCTATGCCCGATGTATGTCAAATTCGGAAATGACAGACAACATTGCCGAATGGGAATCTGTGCACATTGCTTATCCATCCTACATACATTATGGCTATATCCTAACCTAGCCCTATACCAACCTAGTCCACGTCTTAGCCCCATACTGCCACGTCATCCGACTTTAATTTTTTTTTCATGATAAAGTCTCCTACTTATCACTTCTGCTACTGCTTATAAGTTTTACTAATAAGTTATACTTACCACATTATACATTTTGAATTTACTATAAATCTATATTTTAAATTTATATTATAAATTAAGTCATTTCCAAACATTTTGTTTCCTGTTTAGCTTAAATGTAAAAAAATGTAAATGTTTGTTTAGTTTAAATGTATACAGTAACTCTGTTATATATGTAACTCTAATCATTATGTATAATGATATTCTCTTAGCCTACGTCCAATGAGTCCAATTCATACATTTTTTATCTTGATTAATGTTACTTGTAACATCTATATGTACACCTCTGCCATCCCAATTTCTCTTCATATTATATTGTTCTATTCCTAGCATAATTATCTCACCCACGAAAGAAATAATAAAATCTGATTAAAACTCATTAATTGTAGATGTAGGTACTCCACTTACCCTGCAGTATGATAATTTTATGTATCTCATGAAATAAAGTTACTTAATTGCTAACAAGTTAGTGTTCATAATTTCCAAGCTTATTTTATGAGGCGGTTGTCGTTAAAGAAGATACATTTAAGAGTTATAAATTATAATGTAAGAGTAAGCAGGCTCCGCATTCATAATAAAAATGAAACGTTATGGACGGAAACTTACTCAACATCTTGACTTGAATTTGAGTGCGTGTGGTTATGCGTGAGCGATAATGATTGTATGTAAGTACACGTTCACACGTATATGCATGCACTTTGCGTATATCTCACATTTTATTAGGTATATTAGCAAATTTCCGTTCAAGCCTGCTCACATCAATGATACTTGTCTGTCAGTAGGTCATTAGCCTTAATGAAAATGACACTTACTCTGCTGTACTTGTAGTGTACTTACTGTCTGTACACTAAAAATGACTGTACGATTTTAAAATTACAATATAGTATTTATTGAAGGATATGGATAGGAAGGCCGAAAAAAGTAAAGGAAGACTACTTTAACCTGAGTTTTATATTTTTGTTGTATTTGGTGTTAGTCCTGATTTTGGTTCTTGTTGTTTAACATATATTAGTTAAAAAGATTACCTATATACTCGTAAGTAAGTAATATTCTTTATTGTACACCAAAGAATAAATAAATTATATAGTATTTGCAAAGTTGATCAAAATGTACAATTGGCGGCCTTATCGCTAAGCAGCGATCTCTGCCAGGCAACCATGTTACGTAGGACGTAGTAATCAGTACTTAAACATTTCTGGTGTACATATATGAGAGAAAAATATACTTATACTAAATTATATACATATACATATACATATACATATATATATATATATAATTTAGTATAAGTATATATATATATATATATATATATATATATATATATATATATATATAGTAAAACTCGTAATGCGCGCTTATAAAATAAAAACGTGTTAGATATGTAAAATGGTAAACGGTTGATTAATTGTTATTAATTCCAATTAGTATCAAACATTTTTCCACTACAATTCAGTAAATCATTACAATATCAAACAAACGTTACCTATAAGTTTTAAATATATAATTCAAAAGGGAGAAAAAAATTATAAGTTTTTTAACTGCATAGCCTCATAAATTATCTATTATGGTTTAAGATTTGCAACAAAATCATCATCAGAATTCACAGAAATATCATTGAACGTTTTGGAGTATTTTGTTTTATTTTAAATACAATATTCCCATATATTTTAATTGAGTAACAGCTGATTCTACAAGAATTTATTAATAAATAAATATAGAAAAACAATTGCTTATTAAAAAAGCGGGGAATAAAAAATCGATTTGGGAAGTTTATTAACGAAAACTTATTATATAATGTCATTGAAACCGATCTGAAAGTTAAATATTTAAACAACAGTTAGTCACTATGGAAATGAGCAGGCATGTTATGAATGAGTTAAATTATGTGTGAATACGTAAGTCTTCATCGTTCTAGTATCTAAGCAATTTTATTTAAAACTATCTAATACAATTATTTTTCTTTTAAAAAAGGTCAAAAATACAACAACATTTTTATACAGATATTACTAAGCTGTAAACAACTACTCAAAGTTACATATATTTTGTAACCCAAATCAACATATGTACGTAGCAGTAGTCTTGATTCAGGTTTCCCTACAGCTTCATGGTTTAGATATTGACTAGATATCATATCGAATCAAATCAACGACTCAATCATTCATGAACGCCCACGCGATATCGACAAATTACTTTCCATAACTCAAGAGCAAACAAGGTGAACGTATATTTAATTTACCAAATAAACAAACATGTGAGCAAAAATCTAGCTACCATTTGAAGTTGATTTTTTATATATTTCATATTTATGTAAAATGTTCATGGATTTTAAACCGTAAGTCATAACGCATAGACATTTATTCTACGAAATCTGTCCTGGCTTTCAAACTACCCTAAAAATTTCAATCTTTATCATTCAAAGTTACATTATTCTTAGCTATAGAGCTAAAATTTTCTATCCTTTTGCGGAAGCACCAAAAAAATCTTTTGCAGTTTAATTTTATTACAATCAATTAAAACAAAACAATAGAGTAATGAACCCGTATTATATCATAATATTCATCCCAATAGGGATGTACCAAACGCCCTTACTAAAGTTTAAAAATTGTTAAAGAATTTTTTTATATGTCTCTCTTAACCATTTTCTCCTTTCGTGCAAAATTCATTTTATTAATTAGATCCTTATCTAAATGATCTAATGCTTCGAAGTTTTCTTCCACTTCATAACTTCACACTTTGAATAAATTACTACAGGCTAAACAAGCCAACTTTTAATCAATAATACTCTCCTAGATTTCACAGACAGGTAGTTAATAAGTTAAAATCAAAATATTTTAATTTTTTTTTTACTTTAAAAAAAGTTATCATAATAATTATTTTTGTTTGACAAGACATTTTTTTATTAATACATTATTACCACAAAGAACAAGCATATATACATATGTATATGTATAAGTAAAAGCTTGGTCGTAGTGGACTGAGTCAATCTGTAGAAACTTACTCCGAGGGAGTAAGTCCGGTCTCTACCAGGACCGGCCAGTCGCTGGTGTGCCCTGTCGCTGACAGATCCGGGGTACACCGACACAGCGGCAGATGGCTTTCGCTTTGGTTTCAGTGAGTAGGGGCCTGCCCAGGCCGAGTCTCACATATCCTCAACCGGCCTCACCAAGGCCGGTTGGACGGCTCGTGAAAAGACTTTCCCTGCGTCATCAAAAAAAATTTTGTAGAAACATTTTAAGACATTAAACTAAGCTAAGATTACAGAGTTTAATTTATATTTGCTATAAATTAACTTTACAACAATCATTTTTAATTTATTGAAACAACCCCTTAATCTTCCCCGACAATCGAGACTATAGACAGCTAGTTTTACAACCCTAAATTTCTTTAAGTTCACTAAATTTAGAAATAATTGCATACCTTATGGATGCTCTCAAATTCATACTTAATATGCAATGTAAATGAATTTGTAACCAAAACCAACCAAACCAAATATTAGCATGTATTTGGTTCAATAGCACACAGTTAGGAGATTCTACTTTCTCCATCGTGAAACCGAATTTATATATTGAGACTTATTTAAAACGGAGACAAATCATGAGTTTAATAATATCTCGACGGTTCTATATAGACGTAGAACAATTACTAACAAAAACCTCACTAACTCTTAACTTTATACTTTTATACCAAACTCATTTGTCTCTAAAGCGTCGATTATAGTTCTCTTTTTTGTTTTAAAATAGTGACATTTGAAAACTCTAACAGCATCGGTATAGAAAGTAAAAAGTTGAATGAAGTTTCCAGCGAAAGTATTTTCATTAGTTATATCATCAGCTTTCGAGTTACCTCGTATGATCATTTGGGACGGCATCTATTGTAATTTTACAATTTGACTGATTGAGCAGATGGAGGATTTGTAACTGATTTTGAAATCTTGTAAAATTTTGGTGGAGCTGGAAAAATCAAGGTGCATTTAAATAAGTGTTGAAACTCACTTCTCAAATTTTGCAAATGAAGGAATTGGTAAGAATCGATTAACCCGATGAGATAACGCTTCAAAGAGGGTAATAGTTGAACATATATGTATTATGATGAATATGTTAGCTTAAATTTTGAATGCTGCTAACTTGCTAGTTGTACCCATAGATCTGTTTCTATAGATTTTGTAGTTATCAGTAAAATTACCGTTTATATAGTTAACATTTCGTTCATTGCAGTTCTACTAATTTTCGAAATAGAAAATATATAATAAATATATTTATTTTGTACATAGTTTAAGTCGAAAAGTTCATAAAAATTGCAGTTACATTTAACAAATTTGATAATATTAAAGAAAAGAAATGCTTCATCTATATTTCTAACAAAAGAATTCATATTATATTACCAGTTAAATAAATCAGAGATAACATAAAAGCTCCATTTGCTTCCTTAACGCAATAATACAATTTATAAGTAGCTGTAGCTTTGATGGTTAAAACATACGAAAATTAATTCAGTGTATAAATAATCTTTCACGTCTTAATACTAAATATAATATTATTTGAACACTCTAAGTTAATATAAAAACTATGTTACTGAAAAATGCTAGTTAAATAGATCCATAATGATAATTTCCAATTCAAGTAAAAACATTAATTAGAAAAGCTATCATTCTTTTTTATTATTACTTATATTACTTATTTAAAATCATTAAGATTGCCCTTCAGAAATTATAGTTAAAATAATGACGACCATCTAAAAGTTTAACTCGGGCACATTTATAACTGGCAGTTTGAAATATCAATATAAGAAAACGAAGCCGTAAATTTTCATGAGAATTTTCATGTCATCTGACCATTTAAGGGAGAATTAATTGAATATTTATATTCTTATTACTATTTAAATGCTTTTGAAGGGTTTATGTAATAGATACACATATTATA